TTTATTCAAGCTTCAGGATAGTCTCTATATCAAATTGCCTGGGAATTAGTAAGCTAGTGTATTTGTTCACTTTCTAGATTCAGTTCAATAAAGACATGTTGAGATATTGCCTTTCATAGGTCACTCATTATTACAATGAATTGACAGATACCCTTATTTATTCTGAAAGCAGTTACTGGCCTATTTTTTTTTTTCAATCTCTTTTAAAGTCTAGTCCCATGAGATCTTCCGCCAATCTATATGTTAATATTTAAAGTTCCTCATTAGTACTAAGTCATCTAACTTTTCACACTCCTGGATCTTAAATATCTCTAAGTGGAGCTTAGTATTATGAATACAGATGTTATTGTCTTTAAAAGCAGGGTTGTTTTTTTGGAGAGGTTTCCCTACTTTGTCTTGTGTAAAAGCTTTTGAATCCTTCATACCTCACCCTCTCAGTTATTGAAAGCACTAATGCTATTTTCTGTTTTTGCACATGGCATCAAAGAATTTCAGGAAAATACCTGTGTTTGTCTTTGAGTTACCTGAAATGCATAGAGGCCAATATTTAACATTTCATTTCTTCTTTATTCCTTGAAAAGCCTTAGGTATCTCTGCCAAAAAATACTCTATCAATAAAATAATAAGGCCCAAATCCTTGGACTTTCACACAAAATTTCTGTCTGGTTCCCCTAAGAGTTATGGATTTGTTCTATAAACCCAATTAGTAATAATCTCGAGGAGTCTCATACATCCCCTGTTTCCTTAGGTTTTCAAAGTTAAAGAAGAACACTCTTAACTTATCTGACTATCCACAGATATTTATGCTGGGCTTTCCAAAGACCCCTCAATTGGTCTATGCATTTGTTGCTCACATGAACCCAGTTTTTGTACATTTGTCTTTTATCTGTGGAAGAAGAGTTACAAATCACATGTAACGACTACACATTTTCCCTGCTGACCGAGCACCTTACTACCTCCTACAAGAACATGAGTTTTGGGGTAGGGAGATGGGAGTATGGAAATTGATAAATGATTGTGCAAGTATTTGTTTCGGTAATTCTTGTAGCCTGGTTTTGGGTGAGAAACTTAGTAGGACAGGAGGGGTTAAATCGTGTGTCATGCACATATAAATACAATACAAACCAATGGAAGTCAGGAAATAAGTGTTACAGATGCCACACATATACCTAGAAGATCCATCTTGGTAAGACATGAATGTTTGAGGAACGGGATGGTGTTTCATTAAGAAAGATTGCTAGAAATGCCTACGAATTACATTAAATGAAGAATTTAGGCAGGATTCTCAAGAATTAAATGGGAGGAATGCCATTTTAAATATAAAAACAGACATTTAAGAATTAAGAAAGGATTCCCAAGGTTTTTTTAAACCTGAAAAGATGTATTTTAGACAAGAATTAGCTTAAGTGATTTATAAGAAAATAGAGAAACACACCAAGTAAATACGTTCTTTGAGCCAAGTTCTTTACACGTTCTTATTTTATTGTCAAAACAAGTCCAGAGATAAAGAATTTTTTTTTTTTTTTTTTTTGCCAAAGCAGCACAGGCTTAGGAAGGTAGTTATCTGCCCAAGGGTATATAGTTCAAGCTCTTTCAACCATTTGCACCATTTCTATGAATAAGCAATCTGCTCAAATATTCATAGAAGTTGAATTTAGTGCTAGCATCTTTATAAAATGAGTTAAGATCCAGTATTAACTTTGAATCTCTGCATGGGAATCCTAGTCAACTACAAATGAGTCAACAATACTGTTTGACCATTTGAGGACAACTGATAGGGATATTGAGATTTATAAAGGAAAAATTATGTTATTCCTGAGACGCATACCACCTGAAAGAAAAGATACATGTGCCACCTGCTACTGAAAAATGTGTACACCAACAGAAACATGGATACAACCAGAATCCTTTGAAAGAAGTGACATGAGCAGGAAGTGATTCAAAACAGATGTTGGAGTGACCCGAGTTATGGTAGGTTAGCTTTGTTAATGTCTAGAAGTTAGATCTTATAGAATTTAAATACAATGTAGATGTTCATTATGTGCCATGACACATGTCAATGTGTGATGAATGACAATGAACTGGGCATCATTAATCCTCCTATGAATCTTATAAAGTAGGTCCTAGAATCAGCCCTATTTTATTGATGATGCAATCAAGGCAGAAGGTCAAGAATCTTGGCCAGGTTTTCAGAGCTGGTTGGTGGCAGAATTGAGATATAAACAAGCTGCACCAGTGTTGTGGTTCTTAAATTGACCTTCACCTTCAATGCAGTGTGCCACATGAGCACGCAAGCCATGTTTATCTGGGGACATAAGGAGTATGATTCCCTAACCCTTGACTTAATTTTTTTAAGATTATTTTTATGCGTTTATGCATATAAGAATGGGGGTATAGACCAGAGGTGAAGGGGGTGAGAGGCTTCACCAGAGACAGAGTAGGGAGCAGAACAGTCGAATCTATTAAAATACACTGCTGAGGGGATTAACAGGTGAGATAGGAGAGGTCTGCCACACCATGCAGGTCAGCTCCCTGGCCTGGGATCCAACTCTTGCTGCAGTGGCTATAGATTGCTCGATAGCTCCTAGATCTATAACCCTTGCACTACCAGGGAGGCCCCTCCTTGACTTAAATTTTATACGCAGAGGGGCCTCCCTGGTGGTGCAAGGGGTTAAGAGTCAGCACTATGAAGCAATACACAGCCACTATAGCACGAGTTCGACCCCTGGCCAGGGAGGTGACGCACATGGCACAGCAGACCTCTCCTGACTCACCAGCTGCTCCCCTCAGCAGTGTATTCCAGTCGATTCGCCTGTTCTGTTCCCCACTCTATCTCTGGTGAATCCACTCACCCTTCTCACCTCTGGCCTGTATCACAGTTCTTGTATACATAAATTAATCTTTAAAAAATTGTATGCAGGAATACTTTCCCAATGTTCTTAGAGAAGTAGGTTCAATAATTTATCAAGAGTATTTACTGAATACCTACAATGAACCCTATACTGCTCAGGTTGGGTGTAAAGCAGGGAACAGGACACACAAGCACCCAGCTTTGTTACAGGCAGAGTACTAAGCAGTCACACATATTAACAATGCACTACAATGCATGTTAATTTAAAAAATAATACATTTTTCATGAGCTTAAATAAATTACTTCCATTACCTTCCTTAATCCAAAGTTAGCTTTAAAAACTACCCTTAAAAATTCTATTAAGCTGGAAGATTTTAGGGATTCCCCTTTAGAACTAGAGGGACAATTAAAACACCCTTAAAGGCTGATTTTTCTGAATGGCGTATCCAATCATGTATCTTTGTAGTAGTTGCATTTTCATACTATATATAATAAGTCATTCTTGTTCATTTAGGAACAATTTACTCACACTGCCCAAATTGCCTATTATAGATGCATTGATTAGTAGTGTCTATGCAGTAAATGCTAAGTGATTATTTATTCGTTTAGTTTAGTAATTATTCGTGATAACGTGGAGAATAAGGTATTCTCCATTAAAGAAATTCACATTACCCTTAGGGTACCATCTCCAAACTACCCATCATTTGCCAGCTTGAACCAGCATTTTTAGCCTAACAATGTCTTTTTTTCACTACAAAGACCCACCTCAAAATCATCAAGCTATGACCTACTGAAATGAATAAACATTCCAGAAACCTGCTATGGCAATTCTACATCTTAATGAGAAGGGCAAAGCTCTGGGAGTATTTCCATCTTCTAGCCTCAAGCACTAGGACCCCACCTGCTCTCTGGATCGGATTGAGCAGTGTCAGGCTCTAAGGACAGCTCCCTCACCCCCAACCCCCAGTCCTTTGCACTCAGGGCCCCACATGGCATCACAAAACTGGCTTTCACGTATGTGCAGCCCCGGAGCTGCTTACATACGCCCGCACACGTGTGTTCACCCACGCATGGGTGTGTTTTGAATGCATGTGGTCTGAGCCCACGTTGTTCTCAGTTGACCTCTGGGGAATCCCAGCAGTTCCCTGGAACTCAGGAAAGAGCCAGTGAGGCAAATGGCCCCTTTCTGCACTCTGGTGGCTGCCACCGCTGGGTCCCGGGAACCTGCCATGCCTCCCCCTTCCAAGCAGCTCATAAAGGCAGCCTGAGCCGAGCCAGAGAACAGACGCGCGAGGAAGGGGCCGTGGTACAGAGGACGCTTTGGGAGCTGCTGAACTCTGCTGTCCTTCTCCACACCCAGCCTTGGGCAGCAGGAGGAGAGGCAAAGAGACCCGAATCTGAGAATCCTCGGAGACGATGCTAGCCTAACTGCGCCCGCCAACCCCCCCTGGCGCGTGTCCTGCGCCGGGTCAAGGAATCCAGCGGGAACTCCGGGCGCGGCGCCGGGCACTTCGCGCAGTCCTGCTGTTTGCGCTCCAGAGACACGTCCACGCAGCATCTTCCCATGCGTTGTGCGGGTTCCTCCAAGCGCCCAGCTGCCGCCTCGGAAGGGAGTTTCTAGAAGCTCCTTCTCCACTGCCTCCCCTCCCCCTCGCGGCTCCCTTGGGTTCTTCCCCCGCGAGCAGGCTCTCCACCTCCACTGCGTCCGAGCGCCGAGGGGTACAGGTGTCGCCGCCGGGCCCCCCGTCGCCGGCTCCTCCAGGCGGGCCAGGGGGCTTGACCCAGCGCTCACCAGCAGCATCGCGAATAGTCTTTTCTCCAGGCGCTGCTGCGGCCGCTGCCCGTGGCCCCCGACTCCCCGCCCTCCCTCGCGACCCCGCACCGGGGCGGGCGGCGCTAGTGGCGGGCAGGGGGCGGGGAGGGGCGCGGGGGTGCGTCCGGGGTAGCCTAGCCACCTCCTCTGCAGCCAGCCGGCGCCTGGAGACCCGGACCTGCCTCCGCCTCGTCCTCCGGCGGCTCCAGCCCTGCGCCCGCGCCTCGTCCTCCGGCCGCCCTCGCCGCTGCGCCCCCGGCGCCTGCCTGGGCGCACCCAGGAGGGGGCCCGTCGCGCCCGCCGCCCGCTCGGCCCGGCCCGGCCCGGGAGGCGTGCATGCCCCTGCTGCCCGCCGCGCTCACCAGCAGCATGCTCTATTTCCAGATGGTGATCATGGCAGGGACGGTGATGCTGGCGTACTACTTCGAGTACACGGACACGTTCACGGTGAATGTGCAAGGCTTCTTCTGCCACGACAGCGCCTACCGCAAGCCCTACCCGGGCCCGGAGGACAGCAGCGCCGTGCCCCCGGTGCTGCTCTACTCGCTGGCCGCCGGCGTCCCGTGCTCGTGGTAAGCCCCGGGGTGCTCGCCTGCAGCCCGCGTCTTCGGGGTCGGTGCCCCGTGGAGGGTCGGGGCGCGGCAGCTTGTGCCTTCTAAGTTCCTCCAACTTGCGGGAGCCCCTTCCCCAAGGACCGGCTTCCAGGGCATGCATGTCAGGGATGGGTGCAAAGGAGCCCCCATCTCAACCCACAGGCCACCCACGCGCTCCCCGAGGTGGCTGCGGTATTGGGGATCCGAAGGGGGATGGGAGGGAAAGGGTGGGGGTCGGCGCCGGGGAGAAGGGGAGCCCTGGGGATGAATCTTGACTTCATCCAGTCTGTGGCCTTGCAGCTTCAGCTGCCTCCTCGCAGCTGGCGACTGGAAAATGAGCAGCAGCGGTGGGCGAGAGGGAGAAAAGGGTCAGTGGCTGGGGTGTGGAAGGGAATTGGGCTTCCCGAGAGAGCTGATTCCTATTTTGCCACCTCCTTCTATGTCTTATGGCGGTGCCCATGAGGCGAAACTAACCAGGGAATAAATATCTAAGCAAGAATTGGAGAAGCACTGAAGGAAGAGGTTCCAGGAGCAGTGCTTGCTGAAAAGCGGGAGCTGTGGCTCAGTCACAAAATTTATTTAAAGGCTGCTTCCCTCCCTGGGCAGCTCAAGTCCTTTCCTCTAGAGCTCACTGGAAAAAGCTGTCAGATTTTTGGACTCTGTGTGTGTGTGTGTTCATACACATATACATATGTAACTATTAAGATGATAATCACAATAGTTTACATATATGAATATGGTGCAAAGTTTGGTCGGAGAATCGGTATTTCTTAAGGAAGCGTTATGGTTTTCTTTTTAATATTGTCAAATATTAAAGTTCCACTCCTGTGAGACTGCTCTTCACTCTCTCTCCAGCCTTACCCTTACCCCCCTTCCTCTCTCAAACAAATGGAAAAGGGAACTTTTATTTTTAGTGGTGGAATGTTTAAATTGCAGTTATGACAATAATGAATGTTAAGCATATCTATTGTATTTGGATAGCATGTTTTCTTTCCTGTTATGGGAAATTATTTAATAGTATACAAAAATATGAGAAAGTTCCTACCACACAATGGAATTCCATGAAAATACCAAGGAACTTCTTAGCAACTTCAAGGAAACTTTATCACAGGTACTGTGATGTTGAGTTCAAATTCAGTGCCAGCATACACATTTGAAAAGTGTTAGACTTTGCACCAGAGAATGTTTTGTTGTTTTAATTGTGAGTCACTAAAATATGTCAGAAATGCAAAACCCAGCTTCATGTTTGTGCTCTTGCTATCCTCCATTTGAAAAACTGCAAGAGAGAGAAAAATGGGGCCTTTTTTTCGTTTTTGTTTTTCCAGATGTTGGTTTTCCAGCGCATGTTTTCTCAAATATTTTTTTGTTCTTAAAAAAAAAAAAAAGACTCAACTTTCAGGTCACTGGTTTGGTTGCAACCATAATCAATAGGGTCTGTAACTTGTCCCTTGGTAATTACCAGTCTGTGTCTTATTTAAATGAGATAGCACTTTTCAGATCCTAATCATCCATTCATGGTGGCAGGTGCTGGTTAGAGACAAGAACATATTGGCCCAAAGAATTTGATTGTTCTCTGCTTAGAAGGGGAGAAGGAATTGATTAGTCATTATTGAGTGCCTGTTCTGTGCTGGGAACTGAGTAGTCACAGGCACATATATTTCTCAGAGCAGCCCTTCCAGGAGATACTTTCTCCAGCTAACAATGGACAACACTAAGGGACAGAAAATACATTGGGGGTCGGGGTATGTATATACCCATAGGACTAATGCCAAGTGCTGTGCTCCCTCTACTACTTGCAAAGAACATGCTCTCGGCAGGATGATGGCAGGATGATGGGAGGGAGATGACTCATGGGGCAGGCCTCTGGAATATAAGTTGAGTGATTTAAAAAGGGAGAATCCAACTTGTTTTCCATCTTTTGACCTTCCATTTTTTAGGTACAAAACAGAATTTTGGAGCCAGTCTAAGAGGAGAAAGTGTTGGGTTTGGGAAGATAGTAGTGCTTCTTTAATTTTTTTTAAGATTTATTTATTTATACAAGCACTGGGTACAGTCAGAAGCACGGGAGGGTGAGAGAATTCACCAGAGACAGAGAGGGGAACAGAACAGGCAGACTGACGAAGTACACTGCTAAGGGGAGCAGCGGGCACGGCAGGAGAGGTCTGTGTGCCATGTGGGACCCTCATCAGTAGCCGGGGATTGAGCCGGCGCTGCAGAGGCTGTGGGCAGCTTCGCAGCCCAGCACTCAACTGCTGCACCACCAGGGGAGGCCCCGATAGTAGTGCTTCTTGATCTTTGTTTCTCCTCCTGCTCTTCTGAGTAATATTATGCTCTCACCCTGTGATAAGTTGGGGACATTAATGGTAACTTCTCCTTTTTATTGCTATCAAGAATGCTGGCTTGACACAATCACTTTACATGAAAATACTGTTATTAATAATACCATTAGTAGTGTCCATCATCTGTTGAGTTGCATACCTTATAGCCAACTAATATTTACATCAACTATGAATGCAATTATTGTTGTCACTAAACATTTGGGAAAACTTAGAAAGGTTTAGAAAGATCAAATACCTTATACAAGGACCAAGGCTAAAACTACTATATCAGAATTTTAACCACACTCTGTCAAATTCCCAAGTCTGTGCCTTTTCTATTACAATAAATGAGTTCCATGTACTCTTAAGTCATTCTAAATAAATGTCTTAGTCTCTTTCTCCATTTCTCACAAATCTTGGATTATAGTGATAAAGGGTCTTTATAATATTTCTAACCCTCAAACTCAATTCTAATCTTTAGATTAATTTTGAAAAGTAGAACTCACTACCATAATCTGTAGTTTTATCATCGCATCCTTGCTAAATGTATTTATCTAAAAATTAAAACCAATATATCTTTTAAATATTAAAAGCAATATGTCTTTACAATTTTATCATTTTTTATATAGTGGTAACTTGGGGCTCAGGTTTGGAGTCTAATAAATTTGAATTCACATTCAAAGTACATTCTGCTACTTGTTGAGTAGGGAACCGTCCTTGATGTGTAACCCTGAGCAACTTATTTAAGCTTGTTAAGCCTCACAGTCCTAAGACACAGGATTTTGAGTGTTAGTGTATGCAATGTAAATAATAAGTAAATGCCATCCTTGTCTGTTATTGATGCCTCATAAAGCATCCCTATGTCATTAACTTTATAAAATAATGATTCAGCACATGTTTGTTGAATTCCTGTGCTGCAAGCGCCTTATCAGGTAAAGCAGATGTGACAAAGGCAACCTCAAAAGAAAACCATGGTCAGAGCCTGTGACGTTTATAGCCTAATTTGGGAAATTAGGTAAATAGGCCAAAGACATTAATATAAATAACCATAACAAAAGCATTATACATATCTATATAGAGACATAGATAGAGATATAGAAATATCTTGCAGAGACCTTTGGTGGTTCACAAGAGGATGAGATCGTTTTCATTGAGGGGCGAAGAAAAGGCTTCATGAAGAAAATTGTGGCATGTGAGAAATGACTTGAAGGAGAAGCTGAAAAGTATTTTGAGTCAGGACATTACAGAAGCAAGGATGTGAACAACCCCTTGGGAGTAGAAAATGCAGACTGTACTTTTAAAATAATGATTCTCTTTCTTGTTTCTAAGAATGGGGCTCAGGGGACAGAGGGGTGTATAGCTGAAGAAGAAGACTAAGGTCTCATTGATGGGACCTGGAATACCAGGGTCAGAATTTTCTTAATTTGTTGGTAATTGTGTAGAAACAGGATGCTGGGTGGTGTTTTAGGATACTGGGAGGACTGGGCAGGGATCTCCTGTCTTTAAAATGATTATGTAAGATCACTTAAAATTCTTTATCCCCAAGTCTGTTGTGTACTATTAAATACAATTATTTTAATTGTATTTTCTGAAAACGCTTATCATTTGGGTTCATTTGCAAAGATGACATGGTTCATAAACTCTTGGAAAACAGGTACTGTTCAGTTTGACCTATACAGCCTTGGCCAAGCACATTCACATTCACGCATACTAATTTAATTAGTGAGCTTTGGTTTTGATTAATTAGAAGAAGTGGTGATGGCAATGGTTTCTGCTCCTTGCATTTGGATACAGTGGCCACTATTAGCTTTTGTTCCTTTGATCTTTGAATGACACAGATGATTTGAAGGAGAGGAAGCGCCTCACAACCAAGACAGAGAAAACCAGCATCGAGCAGGGCAGGTCTGTGGGTGAGAGTACACCTCTAATATTTTTTTGTGGGCATCCAGGAAACCCCCTATTCTAAAGTTGAGGGATGTCACTGCTGCTGCTATCCCAAGGGCATTATGTCACAAGGTGTGGACGTGGCAGATGATGACAGAAAGTCATCTCTTATCCAGAGCTCCAAAGTGTGTCAAAGCGCCTAGAACTTTCCCAGTAGCCCTCTTCTCCCTTCTGCATGTGTCAGATGCCCGTACCAATCCCCAATGGTAGAATATACTCGCGGGTCATCATGCAGGAGAAAAGGCACGAGCATGGGTTTCAGACAAGTCTAGATCCTTACTCTGTTTTCTCTCATTTACTAGTCATGTAACCTTGGGCAAAATTTTCTTATTCGTAAGTGAGAGTAAAAATACCTTCTTCTTGAGAAGCAGTCTACGTGGAGGTTAAGATCACAGCTTTTGATGTAAGATTTCTTGGGTTTGAAGTCCAAATCTGCCACTTTGCTGTGGGAACTTGAGCCAGGCACTCTATGCCTCAGTTTCCTCAACTGTAAAACAGAGATCATATGAGTACTGACCTCATAGGATTATTATAACAATGAAATGATTTAACAAGTATCGGTGTCAGAATAGTATCCAGCTAATGTCAGCTACCTTTAGACCTCCCAGGGTTGTGATGATTAATCAAGATAAACTATTTAAAAAACCTAGCAAAATAGCTGTAATTGTAGCAGATCCCAATCTGATAAAATAGAACAGAAGCCACCTTGTTTAATCCACTTACCCACAAAATTTGGGGAGTCTGAATAGCAAGAAAAGGAAAATTCAATGAGAACTGTGCTTTTTAGAATCAAGTCAATGGTCCCTACCTTTGATAACTTCTCGATTTCTTCAGGTGTGCTCACCCTAGCTGTTATCTCTTATGTACCAGACGACTGTGAAGTGTAGTTAGTGCCTGCTTCTCTTAGAGCTCACCATGGTGGTTCTTTCTTGAAATCTAGGTACTATCATTAAACCCATTTTATAAGTGAAAAATACGAAAGATACTGTGGTTATTATGTCAGACTTTTATTAAATTATTAAAATCCATTCATAAAATTAATTTTCACAATATCTTATGAGGTTGGCTTGGAGGTAAAAAAGTTAGATGAGCAATTCAGAGTCCCACAGTGCCAGTGTCAAGTGTCAACGCCTGTGCCTTTAGTTCCCTTACCTTTATCAAAACAGTTAATGAATCTTTAAAGATTTTTAGTCATAGTGATTCAAACCTAGCCGAGCCAAACTATTCTTAAGCCTTTTTATCCTCAATTTTCTTTTTTCTGATTTGACTAGAAGCTTTGTGTTCCAGTATTTCAGTATTGCAACGTGGGGTGCAGGAAATTGTTTTCTTTCCTATTAAGCTTGGAAATGTTGTGGAGAGGTGGGTGGCAGCAGAAGGGATTCAAAGATATTTCTGTTCCGATTTGAAGCCATGTTTCTTATCTCTGCCACACACACACAGAAACAGTGCTGCAGGTGCTGCATGCATGCAGAACCACCCTTAAGGTGCAGGTCTGGAATCACAGTGCAGTCAAAGCTGAACAGGCCTCTGTTCCAAAGACATGTTTTTTAAAACGGGACCTAGCATGAGATCGGGGGTGCAGCGGACAAACTGACATTGTGTATAAATACTATACGGTGCGCATTTCTCCAGCAAGAGCATCCTTAGCCCTATAAGAATCGTAGAGAGGTTCAAGATCCCCCACAAGTTAGGAACTAGTCTTTGAAGGGCTGTGGATCTATTTAAACACGTCCTTGTGTCCCTCAGGACCTTGCTTTACTTAGACATTCTCATTCATATTCATTCATTTATATTCTCTCTTCATCTTTCCCTCCCTCCCTTCCTGCGTTCCTCTTTGTCTCTCTTTTTCCATTTATTCTCTCCCCTTTGCATACTGATAAGGGGGTGGTGATGCTGAGTGGAAAGCAAAGGCTTAGAAATCTGAAAACCTGCTAGATTTTCCTCTCCCTGCCTCTCCTCTCTCTTTCCCTGCCAGCCTCCCTGTCCTTCTCATTGTCTCTCCCTCTCCCACTTCACTTCTGGCCTCATCCCCATCACTCATTATTCCTGTGGCTTTCCTGAGCCAGTTACCTTATCTGGAAAATGTTGACATAGTCTTCCCTTTCAGAACTGTTGTGAGAGTCAAATGGATGAGAACGCACTCTGAAGACAATAAATCACTTCATGCATATGAGTGAGAATGCGAGCAGGTTACCTGGGTTATGTAGCCACCTGGTCACTGGAGATGCTAGGACTGCTTGCAGCCTGGCTTTGCCAGTCTGATACATAAACTCTGGTACAGAATAAGATCTTGGTACGTTTCTGAGTTTCCCTGTAAAAAATAGCAAAAATAAAATAAAAGCTAGCAATATGAAATTATCTCCAAACTAATTCTTTATCAACTCCTATTCCAATACCCAGTGCAATTTTTCAGAATATTTCAGTAAGCTCTGAGTTTTGACAAGATTATAATAAAGAGTCTTCCCATGCATTGGTATAATTTGAAAGAATGTTTCCAGGGAGCACTGTTGATACCATCTGTTAAATATGCATTATAGCATATTAAGTTTAGCCCAAATAGACATTATTTGTTAAAGGTTTGAATGGTAATAATGTATCTACTATATCCTAGTGGATTTTACCTGGGCTTATAAAATGAGTAAGTGGAATACCTTCTTTCAAGAATTCAGAAAATATGCACAAAATTATATTGCCAAGCCTCAGTTTTCTTGTCTGTAAAATTGAGGCAATAATACTTAAAATGATTAAATGGAATTAAATGTAAGCATGTAAATATTCAATAAGTGATAACTGCTCTTTTGGCATAAATGCCAATAATGCTTATTGAGTGTGCACAGCAAAATGACCTCAGGTATTCTTAATCATTTTTGTTGCATGAGTGATGTAAGCCATTTACTCTTCACATTAACTCTTTCAGATGAAAGTCATACATCTGGGGTGTGTCAGTCATTTGCTGTAGTTGGTAAATAACACATCTAGGATCTGAATCTCTTACTTCAAACCCAGTGCTCTTTTGACTACCTGCAGTAATCTACTCCTTTGATGTATAGCATAAATGGCGGCATTCCTGGAAGACAGACAAGACTTAAGCATACTAATTATTTTTTCTTGTGCTCTTTACAGTATCCATATACTTGGTAATGTATAGGCTTAGTTACAGCCAGAAGTGCAAAGGAGAATTTAAAATCTGTGTTTAAAGACAAAAGATTCATTAGTTTCTTAAGACCACTGGAATAGTGGATGGGACTTGAGTTTCCCAACTTAACCTTCCCATCCTTACAGATCAAAAGATAGGTTCTGATGTCAGAGTTATGATCTTCTTAACCTGTAAACTTTGGAAAATCACAAAGAATATCATTCTGCTGGAAGATATTTTAAATATGTGAAATGAAGTTCTATATTCAGTACTATTTAAACTATTTCTGAGAATGCCAGTTTTCACTCAGCAGGCTGATTACTTTTTTAGTCGTCTTATGACAGATGTAGTTTGAGAATCACTGTCAGTAAAATCACCATTTTTGGGGTAGAAACAGAATCTTAGAGATTTTTTTTTTCTCAGGCCAGGTGCACTTATATCTGTAAAGACAGTGTTTGGTGGCTCTTTCCCACTGAGAACACATTTTCGTAAAAGCTTATGTGTGTGCTGTGCGTATGTATGTGTATACATAAATACACATATATACATACACATACACGTATATGTTTTATTTGTGTATGTAGCGTATATATGTATAATAATTTTGTAGTTTTTTTATGACTTCATTTTTATCTCCCTTGCTTCAGCCACTGTAATCTTCATCTTCATGAACATTCTGTTATATTCTTCCACTCTTAACACCAACTTCTCTGAGCACAACTCCCTCTTACCAGAACTCCCCCAAATGAAATAGTTGCATTCTCCTCTATGATTTCTGCACCTCTATAACAAATTATGGCATTAAAATAACTTTATTTTTTGTATTTATTTTCATTCATGTTTCCTTTCCTAGGCTTGAGAATCTCAGAGTCAGTGGGTGGTAATCTGAGTCAAGTTAATTTTCTTATACCCAACTCTTAGGTTATTTTTGGTAGATAAGTTATCCAGACACCAATTGAAATGTGTGAAGATGAGGTCATCATAAACAAATTCTGCTTAACATAGTTTTTTTTTTTTTAGAGGCATGTTTTATTTATTTATTT